GAATCATGCGCTAAAAGTAAATATGTACAGAGCATACATTGTACAATGAATCAAAGATTTGGTTCAAAAATTAAACCAAAAAAAACGTCCCGGGAGAGGATTGAACTCTCAACCTCATGATTAACAGTCATACGCGCTAACCAATTGCGCCACCGAGACAGCTGATTGGTCGATCCCTTAGCCTTGCAAAAAGTATACCAAACAGTTTTTCTATGGGTTGATAATATAATTGATCGTGCATAAATTCCAGAATACAGTAAATATATAATGTACATGTGATTCTATGGTAGCTTTGCTGTGACTACAATGTAAGGTTTTCCAGAATTTCTACCGGATACAAAGGTAGGTGATTCAAGGAAATGTTGTGCTAGTTAGTGTCATGGTATATATAATATAGATCATAAAATCGCAATGATACAACACTGAAATAGTAAAACGAACTATTGATCCGCCGTCAGTACATTTTTTTTTTTTGAACTCGTAAGAGCCCCGAGTCGTAGTGCAAAACAGTGTTACCACCCTTTTATAGAGGTTAAAAAGTATGGCTCTGTTGTTGTTCCCATTTTTGGGTCTGCTTTTCCTTATTCTTTATCTTGGTTAATTCAGACGACAAGGAAAGATGATTTCCTTCTGTCTTTAGTGGCTTCTTTCTTATAGTTTGGAACTTCGAGACAAGTAGACGGAATGATACTGAATAACCAAAATACAAGTAATAATTTGGAGATAGCATTAGAAAAAAAAGTATCATTTGAACTTTCGGGTTGATAACTCACGAGTTGCGAAGCTTACAAGTCATGCGATGCAGGTATTTGGGAGTGGTCTACTACTAATACTAGTTACATCTATCTATACTATTTTCTCGTGGAACAACTTATATATAGGGTATGACCATCCAACCGAATTATCAGAAACTTTAGGGTAATCACTCCTCACCATGACAACATAGCCAAGAAAAAAAAAGGCCTCTCTAACCAATGCCATCCCCATCAAGGGCAGGAAAAAAGAGATTTAAACAAAAAAGCAGCATAATATATACACACCAAGATACTAGATCTTGACTCCTGAATCAAATACAACTAGCAGCTTGCAAGTTGCAAGTCACGCTCCACAGGTGCTCCGTGACTCCTTGATCTATTGGGCCCCCCAAAGCCAAGATTCAATACTCTTAATTTTCACCCGGATAATTCCTTCTGCATCGATTTCAGTTACTTCCACATTCTTATATTTACTGTTAAGCTCATCACCACTTGACCAAAAACACATTAAGGCATTTGATCGTGCCTCCAACCAAACTATGGCCAACATTTACCTTCTTTTCACCTGTATTTACATTATGAAGCTGCTGCACTGTACATATACAGGAAATTGGTTAATTATGGTGCTTAGCTGAATCCGTGACCTGGATATTGATCATCCCTAGTAGAGTGAACTATCGGGCGAGGAGATGCCTCGCTACTAATTTTACTAATTTTCGGTGAATTTGCTTCTTACAGCAGACATAAAGCCCACAGATATGTCAAGTTGGTTCAGATCAATATTTAAAAAGAAATATATAGAAATATATAAAAAAAAGCACCGTCCCGGGAGAGGATTGAACTCTCAACCTCATGATTAACAGTCATACGCGCTAACCAATTGCGCCACCGAGACGAAGTGATGTATTCAGTTATATGCTATTAATCTATATAAAAGGGGTTGCGGGAACAGTGATATTGTGGGAGATGCCGGAGAGTATCAAGGTCAGAAAACAGCAGAAAGCCAGAAATTCGAGATAGGTGGCGAAGGTGCAAAGTACTCTTCTAGCAAAGGATCAGGTTCTTATTCTTGTAGCTAGCAGTTGTGTACGTGTACATCCTATCTTCTTGTTTCTTCATTTATTAATGAGTTTCCTTAGGGTTATGGGCCCGTTCCGGCAACTGCACCGGATGGCGGTATGAGCATTGACCACACTGATGTCTGCAAATCATCATAACATCAGCTTCTTCTGTGTAGGACATTGATGCAGAATATATATACTGTTGATCCCTACCTCCATGCAGTTCTCTCGGCCAGGTTTAGTCACGTTATCAAGTACTATCAGAAGTGATAGGAACCTTTGCACCCAATCAACAGGTTGTGGCCCCAGATTGCCCTATATAGGCAGATTGGAAACTAAATGACTAGTTACTCAATTCAATCAACCGAACGCATGTTTCAGCAAACTGACTAAGGTTTTTTTTTAAAATTGAGAATTAATCCACTTACCCATACTATGCCACAGTACTAGCCTATATCACTAAGATGATTGTTAGATGAATGATTTGTCTGCAAGTAAATCATGATACTAACAGGAAACTCCCAAAAAGGTAACAACAGTGCAAATATAAGAGATTAACAGATAGCTAGATAGTACAAAGATCAGTAAGGAGCGGAAACTTGGAAAGCAGAATAAAAACAAACTACAGGCTATATATAATGTAGCAAAAATTACAAAAAGAATCGTCCCGGGAGAGGATTGAACTCTCAACCTCATGATTAACAGTCATACGCGCTAACCAATTGCGCCACCGAGACAACTGGTGATTTTTCATATCTTTAATGAAATTGTAAAGGAAGGGCATACTTAAATTTGAGGACAGGCACATTGGCTAGGGAGTATAAAGAACATTCATTCAGTTTGGGTCAAAACCTGGCTACTTTTCTCCATCTACTTCTCCAATTCCTCTCGAGCAGCGAGAACATTCAGGCCTTTAGCTTAGGCCTTTATCCACACCAGTGGAATCTTCCCATTGGCATAAATAAAACAAACTCCCAAACTAATTGTAACAAAAAATAAAAGAAAATCTTTATTATGGTTTCTATTTTAATATACTATAATCTCTATTTTCTTAATAAAGATGAAAATGAATATTATGATAGCCTCATATTCTCCCAAGTTCCTGAGGATTGTGGGCATCTGATGAACATGCCTACCATGCGACATCCCGGTAAGAAATTATCAAACAAATTTTTGAAATTTATCACATACTAATAATTTCAGAATTGAACCCATCAAGCATGTTCGTAATAGCACATTGGCGTAGATCACTGGTAGAAGAGAAAAAAAAAAACAAGTTCACAGATCTTTCCCTGTCCACCTGCCAACAGAAAAGGGACCAGGGTGGGTTTGTGGAAGAGGACACAGAGATAAAGAGACCCGGGACTAAGACTCTCACGAGAACTGTTGAAGTCTTTGTCCATTGCAGAGTAAGTTTAGTCCTTATGGCGCCCAAAACCATTCGGCCACCTTGCGGCATCTTACTAGGAGCGAGAGGACTCTCCCACTGCACTAAGAGAAATGCAAGCAGTCATTCTTGAGTCAAAGAAGTGCATGGCAACAAAGCCATCGTCTGTAATAATAAGAGATATACGCTCTACCACTCTTAGCAAGGGCTGAATCGGTCCTCATACTACTGTGAAAGTCTAATCATGAACTAACTCTGGTCCCTAGTCTACATACCTGGGTAGCACTGTCAATCTAGATTGGGGCTATACTGTATTTAAGCTAAAGCGCAACGCTAGTGGTTTTCTTTGGGATATTGTAAATTGTGTGTGTGAATTGTTGTTGTGTTACTCCAACAGTAATGAACTACAAAAATCTTATAGGGTATCAGTGTATGCACATATTAACTTGTACACTATAGCTACTACCTCTTAGTTCCACCTGTTGTTTTCAATATGTAACTACAATAATAGACAATTAATGAGAGGATAGGAGAAACTTAAGAGAGTAGGCACAAAAGAAAGGCACTATAGACAAGTTATACGTACATAGTAAATACAGAAAAACAAAAAAAGCACCGTCCCGGGAGAGGATTGAACTCTCAACCTCATGATTAACAGTCATACGCGCTAACCAATTGCGCCACCGAGACGAACCATTATTTAATTAATGCATATCTATGTATATCAACCAGATACATAATTTCTAGAGAACAACATAAGATTGTCCAGTGTTCGATTCCACATACAAACAGACATGTCCCATCCTACAAAATTTATGGACATTTATATCGAATGCTACTCACATTCTGGCATCTTGTATAGTGGATCTTAATGGTTCGGCGACTCCGAGAGACGGTAGAGATCCAACCTGTCCCAACCTGAGGTCTTAGTGTTAATGACAAATGTTAGGTTCAGGGTCAGGGCGAGAAGTGCAAATCACTGATTCAAACCTAGAGCTTAGTAGGCTTATAGACAGCCTAATAGAGTGAATTAATGTATAACCAGGGCCCAGGAGTAATGGTTTTATCTTACGGGTAACGGCTTTATCTACAGACTAACTTATTGCTTCATCTACAGGCAGTAGTAGGGTAAGTTGTAACTGAATTAATCAAGACGCAAGTCACGCAACAATGGGCACTATTTAAATTTGAATTGTCTCTGACTAAAGTCGGGGCTTGTAAAAACCAAGGTACCAGGGTTCCAGTCCCGAGTCCCGACTGGGTCAGTGGGTCAGGAATTCAATCACATGAACCAGCAATACTAAATCCTGACCAAGTTGATATTGTTTAATTAGGGCAAAGACTGAAAAACCGGTCACCCCGACACTGGTACTCTGCGGTTCCAAGCCACTATGATACAAGTTATACAATTACTACAATATAGTATTCTTGGCAGTTCTATGATGATGATTATGAAGATACATTTAAAATATTGTGACCGACTCTGGAAAATCTGGATCTCTAAAAACAATAGAATGTCAACTTTTCATAACTGGACTGTCTTGTGTGAAAGGACTAAATAACAATGTTTCCACTGTATTTTCAAAGGTTCTAGTGCTTAGCTGGCCTTTCGACTTATGTTTAGGTACTATATCATCCTGTAGTCTCTTGAACTTGCTATAACTATACCTCGGTAATTACACATACTATAGTTACTTGAAACCAACAAACCCCAAAATATAGTTCAGACAAGGAATCATATCTGTAGATTGTTAAACCCTCTATAGGCTTTGAGATATTCCAGCCAACCAATGATTTGTCTCGGTGGCGCAATTGGTTAGCGCGTATGACTGTTAATCATGAGGTTGAGAGTTCAATCCTCTCCCGGGACGTCCCTTTTTTATTTTTTTTTGGTCTATCTATATCCATCCATTGGTAGTAAGTAACTTGTTTTCTTTTGAACCTACTACTACCTTCTCAAGTTTCTGCTGTTTTCTGACCTACATGATCCCCTGTGTGTACCTTTTGTCTTTTACATTTTTACCACGCTCTTTCCCTTTGGAGTCTTATTATATTCTTGGCTGTCCCTTTGGCACACACTTCAATCAACTGCTATCACCCGACTTTCGTCCATTTATTGGAAGAATGGATTTGAAAGTTTCTGATACAGGCTTGGGCGTTATTCTGAATGAAAGGACTACAAAACATGCCCCGAGCCTATCGTTGACAAAGCCCCTTTGATGGAGATCCAATACCCTAAGTGCCCTGCCTATTTTAACTCGTCTTTCATATAAGCCCTCTAGTATTATCATCGCCCACCAAGTTATGTATGAAGTCAATTGATGCTGTAGGAATACATCCTGAACTTAATTGCCTTTAAAGATAATGTGCTGAAATATACACTTTCGAGAAGATCATTCTCTCGTATTCCGCTGTGCAGTAGACAGGTCAGGTAGATAGACGGTAATTTGGGCTGCCAGAATTCTACTACAAATTTATACAGGGCACAGGGAACTCCCAATGCTGGTATTGACTTAAGTGGATGTAAAATAAATTAATAGTCTCAATTTTGTAAAGCATTCCTAGCCATCATACATCATAGCCAGCATGCCCCGCATGCAAATACTATCTCCTGCATGCTGGTCCCCTCACATGATTATGTACCGTGGTACTAGAACTATTTTTATTATATACAAATATACAAATGTTGCTTTTCCATCTAGGCGATCGGGCCAAAGAAGCTAAAGCGACCCTCAGGGTCATACTTGTTCTTCAAGCTGCGCAGACGGGACTGACGCCACTCCTCACTGCCATACCACTGTTCCGGTGTCTCGTCTCCGTAGGCATAGTTGACATAGGCGCGAATCTCACTCTCTCCACTGGCTTCGTGAAGGATCTGACGAAGCTGGTTGCCCAACTGAGCGGCCTTCTGGTCCAGCTCTTCCCCGGCAGGAGTGTAGGTAATGAGAGGAGCGGAGAGGATGTTCTCACTACGGAAGGCGAAAGCACTCGACTTGCTGTCGATGGCCCTCACACCACCCATAGAGTAACCCTCGAACATGAAGATCGAGCCATTAAAGGCCGAGGACCCGCGAACGGCGTCGGCGTAGACGTCGTACGCTTTCCGCTGGGCCGGCACATCGTAAGAATCAAGATAGTTAGGGAAACGAGGGTTGACGAGACCGGCCTTTTGGCAGGGCTGGGATGAGAGAGCGATGTTGGTCCACTCCGCGAGATCAGTGTAGGTTCCATTCTGAGGCGCGACGGACAGTGGGCCAATATCGTGGAAGGGCTTGGTATAGACGGAGTCGACAGCTTTGACACCTTCTTGAATGATGTAGAAGAGAATAACAGGCTAGTAGAGTTAGACCAAGTGGGTAATTGAGGATAAGGTGCATGCACTCACGTTGCTAGGATCGGCGTCCGGGTTGTTGAGCCAGTAAGACCAGTTGATAACCCCCGCGGGCTGGGTGCCATCCTTCACGAGGTGATCATTGGCGGCTTGGTAAACCTCTTCGACCTGATCACCACTGAATGTGAGGGTCTCAATCGCCCAGTCACTATGCTCAATGTCATAGACCTTTGTGGTGATAGAGGTAACGATGCCAAAGTTATGGCCGGCGCCCTTCATGGCCCACCAGAGATCCGAGTTTGCGTCGATAGTTGTCAAGGTTCCGTTAGCCAGAACGATGTTCATGGAAACCCACTGGTCCGCGACGAGGCCGTGGTGACCCTGAAGCCAGCCGTGACCTCCTCCCAGAGCAGGTCCAAGGTAGCTGACACATTCACAGGTTCCCGTCACTATTGCAAGGGTCAGCGTTTATTAAAGACTGGTCGCATTGAGTGGACTCCTGTGGATTCACTCACCTGTCTGCTTTCCTGCCGCCCACAGTGTGTCGGTAACCTTTTTAGACTTTGTACCACCGCCAATGGTGACAGATTTACCATCTTTGGCAACGTCGACACTGTTCAGCTGATTGAGGTAAATCTCGATACCCTGGGTCATGTTGCCCAAGGTGGTGATGGCTCCGTGTGCTCCATTGTAGGTCAGGAAGGGCAAGTCCCTCTCGTTTGCGAATTTCACCTATACCAATCTAGTTAGTAACGGGCTTCTTCCTTGGTTTAGGCTCCGCGGCCGTTGTGAAGACAGATAAAGTGGATTAAAAAGAAAAAAAAAAAGTTACTGACTGTCTCGACGACATCATTCTCCGTGCCGGGGACCACGACAAGGTTGATAGTGGGAGTGTCCAGTACAGACCAACGAGTTGTTGCAGTTGTGAACTCATCCGAGCCTGGGTAATAGACCTTGGCGGTGTTGGAAAGCTTCTGTCCGAGATCTTTCACGTCATATCCTCTTGGGTAGACACCTTGAACACTATGACAAGTTGAAGTAATGGCCCAGGTGGCAAGTGCCGTGACTACTTCTAGCTTAAGCCGATACATTGCTCAAGAAGATGTAATCCTGAATGTAGATAGGAAAAAACAATGCCGATCGGCTGCAGGAATATAAAATGCCGAACTGGAATCTATGCAGGCGACGACATCATTATTTAATGGCAGGATTCTTAATTTCCGGTTTACAATCAATGTCTCAGGCTAATGCAACCCTAGCATAAGCGTGGCATGGTGAGAGTTAGCTGAATGGATCGTAATTAGTTTGATCTCCACTAGGGCAATCTATTATACTCTTACTACCTTCGGGGCCTTCTCGGAACTGCTAAACTTCGAACCATACTCTAGAATAATAATGAACAAATTAGCTTTATTCACCCCTTACACTAAATCCTTCATCGCATTTAATCAAGTAGAATATTCCAATAGTTGTGACAATTGTGGGACGAAAAACTTTTTATCCATGGATTCCAGGTAGAAATTGCAGTCGATGTTAGCCCCAACTCATCCTGCGATCGGACGATGAGTTTGGTAGAAAGCTAAAAAAAAGAGAGAGAGAGAGAGAGAGAGAGAGACGTTGTTTAAAAAAAAAAAAAAAAAAGACCAAAAACGTGGCTTTGCTGCTTTTCCTTTTTCGTACTTTCTAGGGGGGATTTTTTTTTTAGAGAACTTGTGGTTTCTATTATATTATTCTTTCGTCAAGTGCAACTGTTCGATGGTGAATGAGAGTGTGATGCTTTTCAGTGCTACAACCACAATTAGGCTTTCTACATTCTCACAGCTTCGAAATGTTTATTTAATCCAAAAAGCAAACAATTAAATGATGTCGATTAGTTATGCCGTTAATTTAGTGGCTAGGGACGCTGCACCAGATGCGGTCCAAGCGGCCCTACACAAGTCTGCGGTTGAATCGTGGACACTCTATGCATTTGGAGTTGCTGCAACCTTACTCAGAACATATGCACGAGGAAGTGCCGTGGGTTATAAGAATTTACGAGCTGATGATTATCTTGTGTGGGTCGGAATAGTTCGTGATCCCTACATACCCTTATTTAATCCCTGACTGATCCTTGCAGCTATTCTACACCGCGCAGACGGCCCTTGCATATAGTGTGGGCAATGCTGCCAATGGCCTTGCAAACAATGGCATGACGGATACCCAGCGTGCTACGCTATCCCCAGACGATCCAGAGTATCGGTTCAGGTGCGTCTCACCCAAAACAGCTTACAGCTAAAGGACATTCTGACGAACTGTGGGACCATGCAGGATAATCGGCTCTAAAATCCAACTCGCGGGCTGGACTACTTATTCGGCGTTGATATGGTCTCTCAAGCTGTCCATGTTAGCATTTTACGTACGACTTACAGTATGTGTTTCAACCATCAGTCTATTTACAAGGATTAGCTGACGTCTCGATAGGACGGCTTGGGTCGACGATATCGCATCCCCGTTTATGTTGGATACATCCTCGTTATCGGAACTTTTGTCGCAAGCATCATAACGATCTTTGCGGCATGCCGGCCATTCCACAAATACTGGCAGATTAATCCAGATCCTGGAAGTAAGCTTCTTCTTCTTTTTCCTTTTATACCAGGTTTCGCCGCTCCCTAACCAACTGCTATATCTTTCAGATGTCTGTCAGGCTGCCGTGTCAAAGCCCATTGTCTGGGTCTCCTTCGCCGCAAATGTTTCCACCGATCTTTATCTGATAACTATACCGATTCCCATGCTCTGGAAATCCAGCTTGCGACTCGTGAAGAAAATCGCATCTACCATCGTATTAAGCGCCGGTGTGTTTGTTCTCGTCTGTGCAACTCTTAAAAGCGTCTTCGTCCTCGTGGTGAGTGTGGAATTTAGCCGGGATAATGGTGTCCATCTATCTAATTGTTTCTTGTCTATAGGATCCGGTCAATGGTGCATCGCTGAGTGGTGCATGGGGCACCCGGGAGACCTTCGTTGCGGTAGTCACCACCAATCTTCCTATGATATTCCATCTCATCCGAACCTGGCTCGCCCGAGTATTCGGCAGTGCGTTTCACTCATCGCAGGCCTACAAAACACCGACTGGTTTCCGGAGTATCGGCGGCGGCGGGGATTATTCCCGCAGCCGGAATAATGGTACATCTTCTCACGCGCATCCCATCACCGTCAACATGACATTTAGCGAGAGTGAGGAACGGATGATGGAGAATGTCAAGATGCAGAATCTGAAAGCGTACCCGGCCCCTTCATCCGGCGATGCGAATGGCATCGTAGTCTCTCATCAGATCGAGGTCACCCACGAGGGTCGAAGCCGCCGCAACAGCGAGTCTGACACGCAGCATGTGCATGAAACCTGTTAATCTGATCGGTGGCACCGATTCTTGATCCATTTTTGCGCTTCATGCCGATTTACCCAAGCAACATGAAAAAGCACTGGCCGAAGGCTGGCTGGAACAGTGGGGTCGGAAGTCAGGCAAGTGGAGCGAGCCATTTGTCCACCATCTCCCACGGGCGTTG